TCCTTCATCATCACATGTGTGAGCTTTGCGATGTATCTCACATAAACACGTCGAGGACGGGTTGTCACTCAATTACCAAAACCAACAAGGACCTTTCACTTGCCGCATGGGCTGCATCGAGGTGATGGTGACACAAGATGTATGAAGGGTGCGTCGCCCGACCTCGAGCGCCGCGGGCTCCATCTCACCACCCGACCCCAAGGTCGCGGGCTATCTGCGACATGGAGCCGCGTCCCGCCCTTGATATCTATAGGATCGGCAGGACGTACGGACATGGGTCCGTGAGGGAAGGAGAAGGACCGGCCGTGGTCATGATGGAGCATTTCTCTCTCTGTCTCGTTCGCCTTCTCTTTCTACACTGTAACCCGTGCTTTCCCTTCACCTATAAAAGGGGAAGCAGGGCGTCCCATGAAGGGAGGATCGAGATCCGCACGAAATCGAAACACAAGAGCACGACACGACCACACGACCAAACGATAAGCGAGCTCTCAGTACCCGTTCACTCCTTCTACCAGAGACTAGGATCCTCTCCCTCTCTAGTCTGTTTGTAACCTCTACTGCAAACCAAGTGCCGGTAAAACGAGTAGCAGCGAACTGGACGCAGGGACTTTCCGCCTGAACCAGTATAAACCCTTGTGTCCTCCAAACACCCATCCGAGCCAGACGCGCAAATACAAATTTACTTGTCGGTGGTTCGAAAACACCGATAATTTGAATTTCTAAATAAATTTATTAAAAAACTAGATTCAAAGATATTTCCCATGATACTAATTATGTAACATAAATATTAATATTTTTAATACATATTTAGCCAAAGTTATTTCTCGAAAAATAAAAACGACAATTATTTTAGTACGTAGGCGGTATATACATGCTAGCATAGTAGCGTCCTTCCATATGTACAAAGACCACGTTTTACATGCATGTGCCGCCAACAGTATATTATTGGAGCATCAGTGCTGCTAGCATGACCGATCCATGCATGGCATGGCAGCACAGGATACATGCATAGCGAGCCGACCGGCGTGCGTGTGACATCGAAAAGGAGGGGGTGCATGCGTCGCCATTTTTGCCCGGCGACGAGAGCTAGAGGACAGGACGGACTAGGGAGCGTGGATAGATAGACTATGCCGCTCTGGTAATATAAGCCAGTAATACAGTAATTTTACAATTGTTTTCAATATAAGCAGGATATATCCTTTCTTTCAAGTAGCTTGGCATCAGTTGAGACTCTTTTAGAACGTGGATTTTTTTATAAAAAATTACACAGTACTTTTACAGAAATCAGTTTTTTGCACATAAAAAATAGAGAGAAAAAATCATGCCAACGGGACTCTATGACTATGGGAGATCAAGGGAGACGGGCGTTTCGTTTGGTGGAGGCGTTAGGATCGCAGGTGCGGCGACATGGGGCGGCTTGCATAGTTGCATTGGCTTTATACAAAGAAAAAGAAGAAGAAGAAGAAGAAGAAGAAGAAGAAGAAGAAGAAGATGAGAACCCAACTGGCGTACGTACGTAGGAGTGGGATCCATTCCAACCAGATAGAACAGAGGGATGTATGTGTGGGTACCTGTGGCCACTGCTCACTCGTCGTCTCGTCGTCGTCCTTGCATGCATAGGCATTGCAGCAGTTGTATTTGTATATGGATGGATGGGCATGGCTCATCTTTTCTGTTGCTGGGACATGAGGGGTGCCCGTTTACTTCCTGGGGATGCTTGATGCTGTAGCGAACTAGTGGCCCTGTGCCCTGTGTCTGCGTCGAAGTGGGGAATCGTACGTCCTGTTGGAACTTCAGAGTGGGAAATCGATATTTTTGTATTTTATCTTATCTTGTGCCTGTAGCTGTAGGGCATGAGTCTCCCGTGGACAAGAAAGTTTTTAACAGTGTCCCACTTATAATTAGGAGACTCTTTTGTGTGTGTCTCGTGTACACAAATTGAACTTTCTACTAAAATATAACTAATTTGTTGTGATTTTATTTATGTGGACTATATTAGTTGTTTTGCATTTACAATAACCTTCTCATCGAAAGAATGCATTCTAGCATAGTATTGAGTCGAAAGATCTTGAATTCGACTAACTTCATATAAAAAATTTATAAATATTTATATCAGCAGATTTTTTTTGATTGAATATATTTTAGTAGTATATACCTATTTTTCGTTTATAATTATTGATAATTGTTTTAAGAATTTCCCAAACTTTAGATGCTCCGACTGATGGGAGAACTATAATTGCTCTCTTTTTAGGACAAAGGCAATAATTGCTCTCTTTTTAGGACAAAGGCAATATGTGGTGACACTTCTCATACAGTTGTTCTGGTTGTCATGTTTGCCTCGGTTACGTTTCGTTCTCCTCTTCACCGACGAGTCAAAAATTCTTGAGGCTGTTTGGATCCTATGAATTGAAATCAATATCTACAAAGTGGTTCTCATTTTATTATAAGATTACTTTCCAAATCCTCTTCCAGTGAACCAAACAAAGTCTTAGTTAATTTGGCCTATCCACTACGTACGGTTTTTTTTTTGGCTACTCTCTTTGTCAAAAAAAAAACCCTTATAGGTTTCGTCGTCTAAGTTAAATTATCATAAGAGTTTATAGAGCAAACTATTAATATTTATGACACCAACTAAATATAATTGGTAACATGAATATCATATTTTTTTATATAACTTTGGTAAAAAATAACAGTTTGACTTTGACTAATAAACCTATAAAATATTTCATTTTGATATGGACGGAGTATTTGCAAAGATTTGACATGGGTAGTTGGGTTCTCCCTAGCATCTCTCTCTCCTCTCCGAGCACAAGGAGAGGATATTTTCGGTTGCACTTGCGCGTGAGACGCAGCCGATCCGATGGCGCGGAGCATTTTGGCTTTGGTTTGGGCTTGGTGCAGTTTGTGTTTGGGAAAGGTAGGAATAGAGGTAGACTCGCAGGCATAGTACTAGTAGCTAGTAGGGTAAGAGATGGTGACTATTCATGGGCCAGGCCGTCCTCGGTGCAACCTGCAAGCGCACGCTGCTACTCTAATTCGGCTCGTGCCTACGTGGGCCTATGACGGATCGATTCCTGACTGCACCGCACGCCCGAGTTCTCACTTCACTTCTCTCAGCTTTGTGGACAGGCGGCGGTCAAGTTGCATGTGACCATTCTTTTCAGCTTTCACGTCACACTACCAAGTTCTCAGAAGGAAAAAAGGGAAACGCTTGGCTCCAAATCACAAGTAAAGCAAAAAAAAAAAAAAAAAAAAAAACTTCCGACACGTGCTGCTCTCCGGAGCTACGCGGTGGCCATAGTGGGCCATGGCCCCCTTGCCTCCGAGATTTGCTGAGGCCCTCTGCGAGCTGTGAAGTATGTGAGCTAGCAGTAAGTTTGCATGTGTCCTAAGTCTCTGTGCATTGTAAGCCAGTGGTCAGGTCAGACATGTATGTCTCTACATAGACATAGAAATCGTGTAGCATTTCCTACATTAAAAAATAAAAAAAGCAATTATGTAGCAGTGGTCCCACCCGCTCGGCTCAGCCGTTGCTCCATTAGCCTGTTTTATTTGCTTCTGTTGCTATGCGCTGTTTTGAGTCTCGTTGATTTTTCTATCTTTTTTCCTTCCTAACTTTCCATTCGAAAAATTCTACATAGTATGTGTATTAGAATTGCTAATTGAGTAATATATATTGGGGTTGTCCATCGATATCTTATGTTGCATCAAATGTATTTTGTATACTGTGGCTTAATTATAAGTACTTTCATTAATTTTGTTCACTACTTATGTACATATAGATTCAATTAACAAATGCCCCCCCCCTTTATTTTATTTCAGGCTCCGCCACTGCTGCTCTCCATCTCAAATCACAGTCCATTTTAGTTTCATTCATTCTAAGTCAAACTCATCAAAATTGACTAAATTTGTAGAAAAATACGTTAGCATCTATTACAACAAATTAGCCCCTTGAATTCTAAAAAACATGTCTTGATGATTTATTTATCTGAAAACATGTGAATATATATTTTTATAAAATCTTAGTTAAACTTAGAGAAATTTGACTTAAGATAAATCAAATTGAATCGTAATTTAGAACGGATCACTCTCGAGACAAACAAAAAAAAATCAATAGCATGCTGCAGGGTTTCCGGATAAATTAATTAGATTTTTTTTACAAAAGAATAAATGATCTACCAGAAGGGTAAACGTACTATCATTTGAGAAGTAGGGTGAAGAAATATATTATTATTATATGAAGGAAAGGGAGGAAATGTAAATGTGCCCCGTACACGAGACCCATAGCACGTCACCCACCGAGCGCGAGGTGTACATGGGCCGAATCCTCGTAGCAAGTGTGAGAGACTCAAAAACTTTGATTCGGGCATGCGGCCCACGAAGAGAGAGCCAGCTTTAGAGGGCCCGAGACCCGAATGGCCATCCGACACCTGTCCTGCATCGACTTTCTTCAGACTCCAGTCTCCCCCGCTTCGCACACCTTTCCTCCCCTCGCGCGGCCGGTGGAGCGCCGACGGGCGACGGCCACGCGCCCACGCCCTCCCTACTGCGGCGAGGACTCGATCTTCTAAGGTCTGTCTTTCCGCCCCCTCAATTTGCACGCGAGGGCTGTTCGACTGGAATTAAAGCCGGCTGATAAGCTTCTTATGAGAGAAAAATACGTAGCTGGCTGATAAGTTTAAGCTAACTGGCCGAGAACTTATACCTAGTTATCGTAGTATCGATGGGTTCGGCCTTGTAGATTAGGCCGCTCTGGTTCCTGTCCCAGACCTAGTTCCAGAGACCGGCTGGTTCGCCGGATTAGGTGGTGTGCTGCTGGTGCGCTAGAAGATTTTGGTTACCTTGATTGGTTTGGCGCTTGGGGTTGAGGGCCGTTAAGGAATCGTCGTTTTCTGGTGTTTTGATCTAGGACAGATCAGTAAGGGATTGTGCGGAGAAATTAGCTCTAACCCCTGGCGAACAGTGTGGGGTATGTTATTTATTGCTAAATTTCTTGAATCATGGGGAACATGGTTGAGCACCATGACAATGTTTCAGGTTATTACCGTGAATTCCTGGCTCCTACAGATGCTGTAAGATTGTATAGGATTGTTTAGGTTATATTGAATTGTTGTATAGGATTATTCGGGGTGCATACATATGTACAGTTTCATTACAGTGTGTCTCTATTGGGATTTATCTTCTTATTCGGGTTGCATACAGATGTACAGTTTCATTGCAGTGTGTCTCTATTGGGATTTGGGACCTAGCATTAGATTGCATTGGTGGAACCATTTTTTTTGGGACTTGACGTAGTACTGCATTTTTTTTTATTTGCAGGAAGCGGTAATGGAGGAAGAAGAGGAACCACATCTTCCACTAGACATCATCTACAAGATCCCAGAATACATATCCGATCCAGTCCCACTAGCGCGTGTTGCTTCATCCTCCAAGTTATGGCGCTCAATCATAAAAGAGACTGCCTTTCTTGATGGCCTCATGACACGGCACCTCGACCATGGTTTCACCTCGTCCCTCCTCCTTGGCTTCTTCTACCAGGACAGCGCCGAGGCTCCCGACCACTTGTGGCAGCATCACAGGGACAAAAATCGCTGTTTGGCACCGAGCTTCATGCCCACATCTGAATTGTTACCATTTGCTGGCTGCAAAGAGGGTTACAATCCAACCAGTCCACTGTCCCTTGGCAACTTCATTCAGGGTATTAATTCAAGCCTCAATTTTTATGAGCCTGTTGCATCCCAAGACAGCTTCCTGGTCCTCTGCCATCACTCGAAAGACGCCGAAGGTGATCCCAAGCCAGATGTGGTATGCGTATGCAATCCTCTCACCGGTAAAGTGTTTCATCTTCCTGGCCTTCCATACAAGCCACCACACCACTATGCTTTGCTTGTCACTGATGATATCAACCTCGATGGCCGGATGGCCCAATCCTTCCGACTGGTCGCCATTTGGAACATAGGAAAGAAGTTTATCTATGTGTACTACTGTTCAAAGAGTAGAGCATGGTGGAGGCCTGCAGGCTTCCCTGATCTAATGGCTGGCCTGTTCCTAGTGTCATCATCCCCAGCTGCTGCTTCCCATGGTGCCATCCATTGGATCTGCGGGTGCTGGAAAAGCTTGGCGCCCAGTCATGTTGTGACGCTACATGTCGACGGGGAAGAGCTGTTATACCTGGAGCTCCCATCTGAAGCAAAGCGCAACAAGACACCGTTGCTGGCAAATTCTGTGGATGGGGGGCTTCTGTTGCTGCTCATGAAAGGTCTTCACATGTCGGTGTGGAAGCATAAAGGTACTGGTACTGGCAATTGGGTTCGTTCTGAGACGATCAATATGACAAGTTCCTTGCCGATGCGGGTGCTTAAGATGCATGCCAGCGCAAAGATCAGATTAGAGATTTTCCGAGGGAAGAGTGGTGTGGTGGTGCTATGGATCGAGGGGGAAGGTCTCTTCACGTTCAGCCTTGGCGATCGGTCAATGAGGAAGATTGACAACGAGCATGTCACAAAGAAGTACCGGTTCTGCCCATATGAGATTGATTGGCTATCCTGTCTTGCAGTCACAAACCTCGTCAGCGATGGCTCGCTGTCGCTTGACACAGAAAGGGAAAAAGCTCAATGCAGATGGAGGTCTTTGTTGGCAAACAATATTCCGAAAAGCAGATGACCATATAATGTCAAGGTATGAGTTACATATGGTCTGTCAGTGGCATGTCAATGATGGCTTCTGCATTACAATTCTAGTTCCAAGACAAGAGTCTACTGATTGGAGGACAAGATGGGGTTACCATATGATGTGTGAAAAAGAGATCGCTGCAACAGTTGATGTATTTGCGGGTATTGGCGGGTGTGGTCACTTTGTTCTAGTAGTGGGCTTAGTTTTGTGCTATTCCTTTTAGTATTATACCTATATGTTAGCTCAAAGCTTTTGTAAAATAAAAGGCGGTTAAAGTTGATAGCTGGTGAAGGGCGGGCCTGGTGCAAGCGGTAGAGTCTTACCGCCTGTGACCGGATGGTCCCGGGTTCGAGTCGTGGTCTCCTCGCATTGCACAGGCGAGGGTAAGGCTTGCCACTGACACCCTTCCCCAGACCCCGCACAGAGCGAGAGCTCTCTACACTGGGTACGTCATTTTAAAGTTGATAGCTGGTGGTTAGGTTGGTTTGTTCTGCCCGTGCGCTAAGGCCTAGTGCTTTGTGAAAATCAGTTTGGAACTGAATTAGAACAGGTGGTGACTTCTGTAATTTTGTTGCAATTAAGTAATGATGAAATCCGTTTTACCTGTCCATGGAATTACGTTTGCAGTTGTTTGTTACGATTGTTGTTAGCACCAACTGTTTGAAACTTAAATCTTGTGGTACTCTCGGTATCATTAGATTCTTTCACAGCACTGCGACTGTGATTGGCTGATTGCATGTACCGAGGTAAGTTCTGTGCTGCATCGTCGTTGTGCTTGGTTAACTCTTGACTCTGCATCCTGGTTAATGATGTCAAGCCTTGGTTAAATATGGCCTGTTATCAGTGGCATGTCAATGGTGGCTTCTGAATTACGTTCCCAGTTCCAGGTAAGAGTCCACTGATTAGAGAATGTTTGCTCCAATACAAGGGTAGATTTCTTATTTTTAGATCGGTGCAATTGAGTACCTCAGTCAGAGTCGTATTGTTAACTCTTCTTTTGTAGCTAGGCTGTCGTAAATTTGTCTTCCTTTTATAGCTAGGTTGCTATAATTTTGTCATTGTCATGAGGAATTCTAAAACTTTATACTCTATATATGTTAACCGTTTTAATATGGATGGTAAATTTCTTACACCCATACTTTTTTCCCCTGTCTCTCACTCCCACTCTTATCCTCTTCATGGGTGGCAAACATCAATCCACAGCACAGTTTGAGGCCTTAGAGCTACAATATCTTCGTTGGCGCCATATATCACTCATAATATGGTGCCCTAGCTTTCTAAGCAAATCTCTCTGATCAATGGATCAATGGGTAAGCCTGTACTCGGTTCACCTACCACCTTTTTTTTAACCTCATAAAAAATACAAATAATATCCATCTATTTAAGTTAGTCAATTTCCAATCAATTTTTCATATAAGATTAATTATATCTCTAGCATTTAATATAGACCTTTAAATTTACTTAATTTAGTTGAAATAATATTGGGTCAATCTCAAGCCTAATCAAACTTAATATAAAAAGATAAAAACAGTTCCATATATATATATATATATATATATATATATATATATATATATATATATATATATATATATATCCCATTATTATCCGATCCCCGACTTGCACGTGAAGGCGACGCCCACACAGGCACGGCCTCACCTCCGCTCCGCCTCCGCCTGTCTCCTCCGTCCGCATCCGCCGCCCGCTGAGCCGCCCAGGACCCGGGGTGAGCCATAACTCCGTGAGCCTCTCTCATCTCCTGTCTCTATCTGGCACTCTAGCTGCCTTGCCCCTGGCCTTTGGATGTGGATGAAAATGTGGGATATGTGATGAGCGATCCTGTATACTTACTATGTAAAGCACTTGCTAGTTGCTAATCGATGTACAATAGCACAGACTATAGAGTAGAAAGAAGATGCATTGTTAAAAACATGATGTACTGCCTCGCCTCTTCGGTAGGAGTAGTTACTACATCTGTCCACGAAAGAATGCAATTATTAAACTGTGCCAGTCAAATTAGTTTAAGTTAGAATAAGTTTATAATAAGTAGTATTAACAATTACGTCTCCAAATAAATTTATTACGAAAGTATATTCTATAACTAATCTAATGGTACTTATTTTATCTCACAAGTGTTGTGTTAGTACTTTTTCATATAATTTTATTCCAAGTTTGAATTGTTTGACTTCTCAAAATGTGATAATTGCATTCTTTTGTGGACGGACGGAGTACAGACTATTTCTCTAAAAAAATAGTTACCCACATAATTGTTGAAAATTGTGACCCACAGCAGTAAAACTGGCGTATAGCAGTACAGCCATGAAACTAAGTTGCTAATTGATGTACTGTGTCTCCTCTTTGGTCTTTCATGCATTGCGCTTCTGTTGTTAATTGTTGATTGTTGATGCCTTGCGCTTTTGGTCTTTTGTTTGTTGAATGAATACACACCAAAGTTAGAATCTTGGGTCGGCATACCCTAAGCTAAAATTCTATATACGCCTTCGAGGTGTATCTAGCAGCGTTCATGATAATCTGCTTGCAACTTTGCTAGTTGCTGGGAGTGTGTTGTCCGAGCTGTCTTTCCTGTTTTGCCGGGGTTTTCTTTTCTTAATTTCTTTTTTTTTCAGTCGGAGTTGTTTCAAGTCGGAGTAGTGCGAGGTTTTCTCTGCCTGTAATTACTTTTGTACAGTTTTTTTTAATCGTCTAATAAAATTTGCGGCAAAGTTTTTGCGTCTTTTCTAAAAAAAACTTTGCTAGTGAAGGAGTTACCCTTTGAATTGAAATCCATGCACTTGTTCACTGGATGCAGGCCCCTCAACAGATGTGGATCTTCGTCAGCACCTTCATCGGGGAGACCATCCGTCTCGAGGCTCTGGGTTCAGACACCATCAACGTGGTGAAAGCAAAGATTCAGGATCGGCACCGCCTCCTCTATGATGGGAAGTGGCTGGACGACAGGCATACTTTGGACCATTACGAAATCCACAGTGGATGCAGCCTCATCCTAGATCTCAACCGCGGAGGGATGAGAATGCCAATCTTCATCAAGATGATGACAGGCAGAAGAAGAACCATCACCCTTGATGTCCAGAACACAGATACCATCAGCACTGTCAAGGCTATGATCTATTATATGGATGACATTCCATTGGACCAGCAATGCCTCACGTTTGATGGCAAGCAGCTGAAGGACGGATGCTCTTTGGCTTATTACAACATTGGCAGGGAATCAACCATCTGTCTGGCACGGATGCAGGTGCAACTTATCGTGAAGAACCCCAGCGGCGGCAAGACGCTGAACCTCGAGGTCGCCCCATCAGAAACTGTTCGCAATGTCAACGCAAAAATTAAGCAGCAGATCCAACTCATCCTTGATGACCAGCTCATGGAGGACTCTCGTAGTCTAGCCGATTACAACACCGAGAACCAATCAACTCTGCACCTTGATCTCCACTTCCAGGGCGGCACGCCGATGCCGATCTTCATCAAGATGGTGCACGGTAGCGAGAGAATCTGCCTTGTGGTCGCGAGCTCAGATAGCATTAAGGACGTCATGGCAAAGATTCAAGATAGAATCGGGACTCCCTCTAACAGTCAGCTCCTCACCTATCATGGGAAGCAGCTGACGGATGACAGATTTACGTTGGCTGATTACCACGTTAGGAACGAATCAGAAATCGAACTTGAAGATCACTTGGGCACAGGGATGCATATTTTTGTGAAAACTCTTGCCGTCAAGATCTCGATCCCTCTCAATGTGGACGCATTTGACACGATCAGTGTGGACAAGGCAAAGATTCAAGATCAGCAGCGTCTCATGATTTCCCGGAAACGGCTGGAGGACAACCGTACTTTCTCCGATTATAACATCAAGGATGGAAGCACTATCCAGCTCAAACTACGGTCATGGGGTAGCATGCAAGTGTTCGTCAAGGATGTTAGGGGCAACACCATCACTTTTGAGTTCGAGAGCTCAGATACCATTGCTGATATCAAGGAGAGGATTCATTATATGCAGCACATTCCCCCTAGAGAGCAGCGTCTCATCTATGCAGGGAGGCAGCTGGCCGACGATCACACCCTTGCGGACTGCGGCATCTCAAAAGATTCCACGCTGCATCTACTACTACGCCTTCGTGGCGGTCAATGAGATTGACGCCAAATCGCTGCCCTTCTCTTTAATCAAGTTCTGCAACATGTGTGGTAGTAAAAATAGTCCAGAGTATTTGATAAGAAGCACTCTCCTGTGTAGTCGTGTGTTATACTTAATTGTAAGTGTTACATACAGTGATTCATACAATATTCCAGCTTGGTTTGCTTCGTGTTATATATGCAGCAGGTCATGATTCTTGTCCCTAATCTAGTTGCTCATATGCTACTGCCGTACGTGGTGCATCTGGACTCTAGCACTTTTTTTTTTGTAAATGAAAGATTTTATTAATTTTCAAGTGTAATAATACATCATGGTTATACGGAGTCTTGAAAAGGTTCTTACGGCATCTGCTTGATAAGAAAGAATACAGACTTTTTAAAAAAAAAAAGACATACACAACACAATCTAGTGATACTCACTCCAAATACTAGAATGTCTCTCATGTTTCTGGAAGAATATGCCTTTGGTCATTCGCGTCAGGTGTTGCGAAGTCTCCACAACAAAATCCGAGAATATACTTTTGGCCATCTGCTCCAAGTGTTGCGAAGTCTCCACAACCTCCAATGAATCCCTGCTTCTGAAGAATAGTCTACATATGAAGTTAGTTGATAAATGAGTACGTAACCTTAAACTGCAAAGGAGAGTAATATTTCTTTTCAAAAACTAAATTATTCTTGTATAACTAAAGAGACCAACAAGTTGTGACCTTTCCTAACAAGACAATAGACTTCAACACTATGCCTATGCTCCCTCTTAACCAAGGGCTATGATGTTCTGGTGTTGTGGGTATTTTCTATGTTTTAATTTGTGCCTATATAAGATTTTCAGGCCTACTTGGCCAAGCAAGTCTGGAACATGCTCCTGCTGGAAGGGCTTCGTCAGAAGCTGGCTGCACAGACAACAACCCGCGATACGATGACCATCATTTTGCAAGAACGGGAGGCGACGAAAATCACAGCGATCATCACCTTGTGGAGCCTCTGGACAAATAGAAATGTGGTCCGGGAAGAAGGAAGAAGGAGAAGTGATGGGGATATTGCCCGAGGAATCAAAGCCTACTGCTATGAATTGACTCAGATGGTGGCAGAGAGTACCCAGAGAGCAGCTCATGCTGTGAAATGGTCTAAACCCCCTGATGGAGTGTTGAAACTGAATTGTGATGCTTCATTCAAGGCTGAAAATATGTCTGGGAGCTGGGGCTTTCTGACCAGAGATCACGATGGAGATGTTGTACTGACGGGAAGAGGGAAACTGAACCATGCTCTTAGTGCCTTCCAAACTGAGTTGATATCATGTCTGCAGGGTGTTCAGGTAGCGGCAAATTTGGGTGTTGGGAAACTCATCCTGGAAACAGATGCTTTGATGGTCCAGCAAGCAATGAGGTCGGACACTTTTGATACAATGCCTGAAGGTGCGCTGGTTGAGGAGCTCAAGTTTTTAGCTCGTGTGAATTTTATTCATTTTGAATGTAATTTTCTTAGTAGAGTTGGCAATAGGGCAGCACATGCTATGGAGCACATGCTATGGCTGCTCTGGGTTATGGTTGCATCGAAGGGGAGGAACTCATCAGTTCTGTCCCTGAAGATGTTCTTGTAATCGTTTCTGATGACTTATCAGTTTGAGTAATGAATTTGTCAAGTTTAAAAAAAAAGATTTTCAGGCCTAGTTTCCTTATAAACTAGGCTAATTCTAATCTTCTTAATTGAAAGGTAGAGCTCTTGTCGTTACTTAAAAAAAAGAAATACATAAGCCTAAAGCCACCAGTCTTACTCCTCTTTTTGTGACAAAAGCAACAAGTTTTGGTACCTTATACTATTTTAGTTTGGCTATAAATTATTTTTTGTTATGTAGAAGATTCAAATAAAACTGTTCGATCGACCTTAGAACAGCGGAAAGTTCTTGCCTTTGAAAAGGAAACTAAAACCCCCCCTCCCTATATAATGTGTGTGCCTGAGCAATATGTTGATGTGGGCCTATTGGCCAGGCCTTCTCTAAACCGAGGCCCAACCTAGCTAAGCAAAAGTACCGGGCTCGAGCTTCCCAAGGATGGGCCCACGAATAAAGTGTTCCTTCGAGGGGGAAAAAAAAGAAGAACAAAAGATAAGACAAATTGTTTTTGGGCAAGTACCATACCATCACCCTGTTCGCTGTTCGCTGATTGATTTCAGCCAGTCTAAACCAGTCAACCAACAATATTTTTCTCGCACGAACAAACCAGTCCAAACCAGCCCACAAACCATCCGGTGATGTTATTACTATTACTAACCGTCGCCTTCTCTTCCGCCTCTCACCGGCGCGGCGATTTGCTTCCACGTGCGGACGCCTGAGGTGATCTCACCGAACGCGGAGATCACCTCCGTCCTCTACTACTCCGCCCAGGTATCTCTTTTCTCCGGTGGTCCTCCCCCAAAGTGTAGTGCGCACCCATCTTACTAGTTAGGGTTGATGTTTCTTCGTTATAGAATTTTTGTCGATTAGGAGTGACACTGACTGCTTTGGTTTTCTAACCTCTGGATTCGCAGACACTGGTTGAGGATTGGATTTTGCTCGAAATTAGCCCTAGAATTGATGATCCATGCTGGATTAGTTTAGGTATTTTGCGCCTTGTGTTTTTGGGTTAACATTACCGTTCGTTAGTTCTAACAAAAACGTTGTTATTTATCCAAGTTCGGGTGTGGCTTCTTTGTCAGGGGGTGTTTGGTTTGGGCCGCTAAACTTTAGCTGGCTAAATTTTAGTCTATTTAGTCATTTTTTACCCAAACACATGGACTAAATGGGACTAAAAGGGGAGCTAAAGTTTAGTCACCAAGAGGGAGCTAAACTGGACTAAAAGCCAGACCGCCTCACCTTTTAGTCACTTTGTAGCCAAACACCCAGACTAAAAGGAACTAAAAGACCTTTTTTAGTCTCTTTTAATCCATCAAACCAAACATGGTTGATTAAAGTTTAACAGCTGGTTTAGTTGGCTAAAATTTAGCAGCTTCAATCCAAACAGAGCCTTAGTTGAAGTACAGATTAATATAAAGAGCATGTCTGTAATGTTGCAGTATATTTATGTGAATCCAGATTCGTTGCTTGACTGTGCTTTAAGTTTATGCTCACCTTTGTCGTCCCTAGATCTAAGAAAATAAATTGCCTCCGAGGGAAATTAAGGAAATCAGCTGTGTGAACTCTGAATTTATCTGGAGTAGGTTTCTGTAACCGAGATTGGCTCATGGAATTAGTAGATTGATTAACCATAGTAGCGAGTACAAGTATATTTATGGGCAACGATCGCTAAGGTTAGGCTTATGGAATCAGAACGAACACTAGGATCATTGCTGAACATAGATCAACGATCAAACCTAGTGTGCACATGTGGGCACAAGTCCGGCAGCAGCAAAACTGTGCAGGCCTAAAGTGAGCCCAAGATAAGCCTGCATGCAGACAGTCTTCTTTTGGTGGTGTTCTAAACAAAATTGGCTCCCATCTTTTCTTTGCAGGAAACGACCATGGAGAATGGCGCGATGCTGCAGCTTCCGGCAGAAATGACCGACAAGATCCTGTCTCATATCAGTGATCCTGCCTCCCTAGCTCGCCTTGCTTCAACATGCAAGTTTTGGCGTAATATCATAAAGGACAGAACCTTCCTTGATCGCCTAATGAGGCGCCACCATGACCATGGTTTTACTCCGTCCCTGCTTGTTGGCTTCTTCTACCAGGACAGCACTGAGTCTCCTCAACAGTTATTGCAGCATAATAAGGGCAAGTGGCGTAGTTTGGCACCGAGCTTCATGCCCATGTCTGAATTGTCAGAATCCATCGGCAGCAAAGTCAGTTGCAATGCACTCACACCAGCTAAGCTTTGTACCTTCATTCGGGGTCTCGGTTGCGATCTCAACTTATACCAGCCCATTGCATCGCAAGACAGCCTCTTGGCCCTCCGCCGCCAAGGCACCAGTGACCAAGCCCAGTCGGACAAATTATGTGTCTGCAATCCTCTCACTGGTGAAATCTTCCACATACCTTCGATTCGAATTACATCACCTGACATGTATACCTTACTTGTCACCGAGGATGTCGACCATGGCAAGTGCGTATCTCAGTCCTTCCAGCTGGTAGCCATTTGGATCATCAGACAAAGGAGGTTTTTAATTGGATCCTACTGCTCAAAGGTCAAACATTGGATGTGGTCTTCAGAAACTCCTGAGCTAATGCCTGGCCTCTATGTGGTGCAGTCACCTGCAGCCACTTTCTCTGCGGCAGCTCGACTAACTGGACCCTCACTCACATTGCCACACGCTGCATATCGCCACACATCCAACGTTTTCATACCTAGAGCTCCCTCTTCATGCTAAACGCAGCAAGGCGCCGTTGCTTGCAAGTTCTGCAGATGGGGGGCTTCTGTTACTCTTATTGAATGGCCTAGAGATGTCACTGTGGAAGCATGGCAGTGACGCCAGCAGCTGGGTCCTCTTTGTAACAATCAACCTGGCAAGTTCCTTGCCGATAAGGGTGGTCCAGATGCAGGCCAGAGCAAAGATCAAGTTGGAGTTGTTCCAAGGGAAGAGTGGCACGGTCGTGCTTTGGGTTGATGGTGAAGGCCTCTTTCTTTTCAGCCTGAGCGATGGGTCAATGAGGAAGATTGGTAATGAGCGTGCTATAAAGAAGTATAACTTCTGCCCGTATGAAATCGATAGGCTATCCTGCCTCTCAATCATGAACCTTGTCGTCGACGGCTCCTTGCTGCTCGATACTGGAAGGAAAACGATGCAACACAGATGGAGGAAAATAGTGGCAAGACATGAAATAGATTAATAGAATAAAGAACATTTTGATGTAATGACATGGCTTCTGTGCCCGCCATCCGCGCAGCGATTTTATTTTTTTTAAGGAAGATCCGCGCGGCGATTGGGTCACCTGGTCGTTAGCGTCGCTCGCGGTGGGTTCTTGTGGGCCGGGCGCTTGGAACTTGGACGCCGGCCAACCTGGGCCGGTCCAGACTCGTTTTCCTTAAAACGTGGACTGGGCCGAGTTCTCTGAAAAATTATTCTTTTATTTATTTACTAGATAAATGCCCGTGCGTTGCAACGGGAACCCATAATACCACGATAATATATGTATGAGCGTGTATTATACTATTATCTAAAATAGATACCGCAATCATAATATTCCAATCAATATTACATAAGTCTTCACGAAAGATAGATAGTTAAAATATAACTCTAAATTTGAATGCAAAACTAAAACATCAACTTCAATTGTCGCATCACTTCATACCTACGATACGTGAAAGATGAGCTTGCACTTATTTAGGAATCAAGTGCTACGAAAAGATAATCATAACAAGTTTGTGTTTCACAATACATATTTTAGAATCTATTCTACAATTAAGAATCTAATCTCTCAATAGTTCGACTAAGAGAACGTGCTTTGCACGAATACCAAGCTGCAGTTGGTCACCAATCAATGATGATCCAGAAGATTTTCTAGTTCAAGATGCGGCGTCTGACTTCTTGCAGCAAAAGCATGCAGATGGCTGGAGCTGTAGTTAGAAGTATTCAACATATAAGTTGTTTGTTAATTTTTAAAGTTAAAGTACCATTTGATATCTCAAAAAATATGTATCGACGTGTGATGCATTACCTCTTTTATGGAGTTAGAATCTCTTCATATACGATATTCTTTGTGAATATATCCTTTGTGTCTGAATATCCCATGCATCCTACTGGGAAACACACCAGCAATCATCACAGAAATATATCATAATTCTTTCTTGAGTAGGTATATGAAAGAAATACATATGTACCGGGAAAAGAAATCTTCAACCAGTTTATTATAACAAAAGAAATACATTAAATGCTCACCGAAAAAGAATGAGGAGTATAAGATCAGATTATTGTCTTATTGAGGAACATAAGAAAAGTCAAGCAATTAACAAAGAGCTTCCAATATAATATATAACAAAATATAGTAGACCATATGAAAGCTTGTCATGATAAAAGTATTCCATGATTTTATTTTATCACGACCCTAACAGTTTATGGAATGCGATCTCAACCTCCTAATGAGTACATCTACTGGGAAATGAAAACAAAAACAAAGTACCTTGATTCCTATGTGGATAGGTCGCTCCAATACCTCCTACTCAAATAACTGGTTTTAGTTAGACCATCGCAGACAAAAAGATACTCCCAAAACAAACATTATAGAAGGTATAAAACATCAAAAGACAAACAGGTTCTACTGATCCAACTTCTTTTTTCAAATTATCCTCTAAAGCATTCTTTGTTGGAAATTTCTTAAAAAAATACTATTGTGCCGCCGCCGAACAGGGTGGGCCAGCAGAGGCACTCGTATATCTCCTTCTTTATTGCCACAGAGGAGCAGCACCTGCCATTGACTCCACAGCTCTATAGTCCATGGATGAGGCTGTAAAATGCGCATCCAGGATGAGGTAATGGCCATGCTGAAGATGAGAGAATCTACACAAATAATTTTTTCGCATGGAACCAGCAAGCAAGAAAACAAATTATTAGCCATACCTGGAATCTTCCGTGGGGAGCCTCGCGCACCATAACCCATCTTCGCAGGTATCATTAGCTTCTGCTTTTCACTGACGCACATGCCTAGCAATCCTTGGTCCCAACCTATAAATGAAAACAAGAAAATTGGTTGGCGGATTTAAGATCGTGTGATATTGTTTACACCAAAATTTGGAAGAAGAGTCGCAGGGACTCGAAAGCTCCCAAGATCATGTTATCAAGGAATCAATTGCGTGCAGATTGGAATCATTCGAATGCAACACTAAAATCGGCTTTCTTCAGATAGCGCCAGCGGATAACGACAAATGTTACGATCGGCGCCAGGACGAAACATGTTGGACTCTACAAAAAGGAAAATATTAGAGTCCAAGTTATCTTAAATTAGGAATATTTTCTCTAGGATTAAAAATTATGATGAGTCATACTTAGACAGGAGTCATGCGCAGGTCCCGGATATAAATATCGAAGCCCGGCTATTGTAAGGGACATACAATTAATCAAATATAAGTTACTTACTTTTTCGGCTCCGGCCACCCCTGAGAAGTAGGAGTAGAGTAGATCTCGGTGAGTTCTTCAGCAAGTACGGCTGCATCGATCCGGTCGACCTCCACTGCTTGTCTGTAAGTATCGTCATAGCTTATACCTCTGTTCGTACGACTGCATCGATCCGGTCGACCTCCACTACTCGAACTAGATTAAGGTCAAGTTATCGGCTCTAAGGGTGACGTTTCTTCAGATAGATTCATTAAGTTACCGATATTGCTTATTGTTTCCATTGTTCATTTAATTACAGCAATATCACTTCACCCGATTGGGATTGATCTAGATCGGCCTTATATTTTTATTAACTCATCGTTTGTTAATTTAAATTAATTTAATCTGCACTTTAAACGATGAGTTATGTTTTATCGGCCGTTTTACGTCAATCTTGATCGTGCATAGTGTGCGGTTAAGGCATGTTTGATCTTGAGTAGATCTATTGGTTAGCGAAAACTATTTCATGGCCCGTTATCACGGCATGTGTGATTCTGCCTCACACCCCACTGTTAGCACCGTGGAGTAGGGATCGTTATTTGGTAGATCTATTCCTTAGAGGACATGACCTTAACTGTGCGCTATGCCTGAATCGACTGTTTTAGCCGATATCGAGCGCTTTTTACGAACAGTTTACGTCACGAGACCATTGAAGTAGCGGTAGGTTGAAAGATGTGTTAGCCTCATGATCTTATTATTGTATTACGGCCTGCATGATTCTGCCTCATGCCCCACTGATATTAATAATAAGTTAGAGTCGTCGAGTCTATTGTTGTTTCTACGGCCTGCATGATTATGCCTCATGCCCCACTGGTCATAGCGATAGATGAAATCTAATATGTTCATTAGATTTATCTTTATTAAATGGTTGAATGATGATGAGCTGTTCTTTCATAAAAGGGGTTCGGTTACTTGCAGTTATTGGCTTAGCATGAACTAATTACTGTTGATATCTTTTTGCCAGCGACCAATATTTGTCTAAAGAATGATACCCATCCTGAATGATAACCGATTCTTCTTATACAACCCCATGAGCTGTAACCGAATTATTTTATGAATATACTGGAATCGGCTATTTGGTCGATCTCCTTTCATATCGGCTCTCAGAGCCGCACATTCGACACTGTCTGGCAACACCGGCACGTTCCGTCCTTAATTACTGATAAGCTTTCTCTCCTTGTCAATTGCAGGGTCAAATTGACTGGCACGTCTCGGGAGGAGTGCGTAGGATCGACCATCCCTGCGCTGAAGGTAGGCGGATCTCCAGCTCCATCGAGCGGACCCTTCCGGCTTGCTCGTGTGTCCTCGGCACGGGACGAAAATTCCGTGTCGACAGATATAAATGGCACACGTCATTTTATCTATTTTTGATGACATATGCTTGTAGCTCAATACAGTTCAACGATCACCTCTGTCATAGCTAGAATCAAAAACTGATCCATCGGTGAGACAGTTAGCACATGAAAAGTACCAAGGAGTGCTTTAATCAAACATGAAAAGGTAAACCATATATGAGACAAAGATATTGCATCTACAAAGATCATACTACCAAGCAATTAGCATAGTTCTTCTGCATAGCTATATTAATTGTGTGAGTTAAGGTATATCTGTATATGAGAGCAATCCCTTACAGGGCTAAATCACTGAAAAATCATTATGGAAAATACAGCAAGGCTAAAAAGGTATACAGATCATATACTTACACGATAATGATTCTTAATTTTGTCTCCTTTGTATGCTTGCAGGGTATATGACTCAGGCTTGTACTGAAAAGAAGACGAGCAAGGCAAAATCAATGCTTATCCTTTCAAAATGTAACTACAGAAAAATCAATGCATATCCTTTCAAAATGTAACAACAGAAAACTACAGCCTATTCTCATTGATAAATCAAATATTTGATAATAGTGTAATTGCACAAGAATAAGCAGAAACTGACGACACACAATTCTCCAATATCACTCCCTAAATCTCACATCGGACCGTAACCAATTATTCTTAGTTTTCTGTTTGGACTTTGAAGTGGCAGCCATTGAATAAGGCCCGAAACAGAGAACTTCAGCAGCATTACAATGGTTATCCCTTAAGAGGTCCTGCATGCCTTCGTTAAGCTCACTGGATAATTCATTCTGTGGAAAAAGGTGCTGCTGAGTTACTTTTCCTTTTTATTTAGTGTACTCACCTGTGCGCTCGCGGCGGCGTCCACAATGTCGCGTTCCTGGAGCTGCTCCGTGGCCTGGAGCTGTGTGCCGCTGAGGTCCTCCTTGAGGATGCCGTCGTCGAGGAAGATGAGGAGCTGGTGCTGGAGCTGCATCCCGAACTTGGTGTGAGGACGGGGCTCGGTGGTTGAGATCTAGGATGGGGTGAACATGCAGAGCATGTCGTCGGCCGTGGTAGAAGTGCGCTCGCCCACATGCTCAGCTGTGGGGACGGGAACTTGAGCAGCCTCCTGCTTCTGAGCTCGCGCCGGCCATGGAGGAGAGGAGGTCATGCTCGCGGCGCGGGGACGGGAACTTCGGCGGCCTCCTGCTCCTGAGTTCGTGCCGGCCATGGAGGGGAGGACCACAGCGACGCCAGCGGTTACTGCACGGTGGACCTGCCGCCGTTCCTGCGCTACTGCAGTAATGAGGAGCTCCTGCTGCCATGGATGGAGGTGGACGCCTTCACGGTGCAGCCGCCTCTCTTCCCTCCCTGTCCACGGATCACATGCGTGATTTGAGCCACCACGTGAGGAGTGCAG